ACGAGAACACGGACGTGAGCGAGATTTTGCGCGCTTGGTTATTTCCGTCGGCTACTAATTTTTAACTAAATTAATTGAGGAATCGGTTCACTAATTCGTGGAATTTACGTAGTCGCTTTGGTGTGACGGTTGTGCTATTGCAGAATTCCGTGAGGTTCGTAAATATTCGAGGAGCGCCGCATTGTTCTCATTACGGTATATCGCGCCGCGCTATTTCGATAACTTCATCAGTCGGTATTCGGCATCGAAATATCGTAGCGATAGGAATCTCGATTCGCGCGTAGGGATGTAAATAAATACGCGTGTGTATATGTATTGACGATCGTCGATCTTGGGACAGCTAAAATCCCCGCTAAAAGAACGTAAGAAACGCGAAAGGTACGTAAAGTAGGCGAACGCATTAACCTGCCGCGTTTCTCGAGCGAAAATAAGCGCAACGGAAAATTGCAATTTTATTAACTAAAACTGCGCTATAATAATCTCCATAATTAATTTTTACTCGTTGCTGGTCAGCGATCGTTCTCTTTGTGCCGTCAAAGAACCGACCGCCCTTTTCTTCGCAACGGAAGTCTCGATTTATGCGGCGTCGTAACCTCCTGTAAAAATTGCACGTTAAAAAATATTGTTCTTCAAAATTATTTTAATATGTAGAACTCCTTCGAAGAGCTTGCGTATATTATATAAACGAGAGGATGAGGATGAAAATTATCTTCCAAAAAGATTTCGATAAAATGAAAATGCACGTAAGCACGTAATATCGTGTACGGACATTTGGCGTTGCAGAATTCCGTGAGTTTCGTAAATATTCAAGGAGCGCCGCATTGTTCTCATTACGGTGTATCGCGCCGCGTTATTCCGATAACTTCATCGGTCGGTATTCGACATCGAAATATCGTAGCGGTAGGAATCTCGATTCGCGCGTAGGGATGTAAATAAATACGCGTGTGTATATACATTGACGATCGTCGATCTTGGAACAGCTAAGATCTCTGCTGAAAGAATGTAAGAAACGCGATAGGTATGCAAAGCAGGCGAACGCATTAACCTGCTTGGACATTGGAGAATTAATATTGAATGTACTTTGGATTTCATATAACCTATCTGAAAGATATCGATGGTAATTTATGCGTATGTGATTGGGTAATTTATTTCTTGCTATTTCAATTGGTGCAAATTTATATTAACTGATTTTTAGTGCATAATAATGTACATAGAAATGGAAGGGAATATGTGCATATACGTATATACACATATTACTCCTAAGTGAAAAGAAATACTTAATACTTCGTATTTTTAACCTAAAGGGGTATGAATAATTGAACATCCATTATTCGCTATTCAGATCTATCTCAATAATTTAAAATTAGCGTTTTGAAACTGTTGCATTTTTAATAGCACATGTAAGACTATATCATATCACGGCAGTATGTAAGGATGTATTATACAGATGTAAATACATATCCGTAAAATATAATGAGTTCTGATCGGGAAATCTATATAAGAATATTCTATAGAAGAATCTATGTAAGAATTCAGATTAAAAATGTAATGTTTCAGAAATGTGATTCTGAATAGAGAAAACAGATTCTACTTTCTTTTTTTGTTGAATTTTTTCTCAAGGATTTCTTTTTTTCGATTTCTATTATGTGTATGTTAAACAAAATATCTGAAACTTTTTGATTATTTACGAGACTCGATTATTTACATTATATATTTTGCAAATATAAAAACTTAAAAAGCATAAATACTTAAATTGCTTTAAGTAATTTGCTCAATTCCTTTCTGAAAAAAAAAATTATAAATATCGTGAATACTAATATGTATATTATGTTTTTGCTTTACGTATAACTTTAACATCACATTAAATAAAAATAAATTTGGAAAAATGTTGAATCAAGTAAATAGAATTTGCTTGAATTTCCTACTTAAAATGTGAAAACGAGTGCGAATTCCGTCAACATATTCCGTCTATTCTCTGATTTCTATACTAATAATTTATAGTTGGAATAGGAAAGGAATTCCTCCAATTGATAGCATAATCGGATAACCAAATTTCGGGGCAAATTTAGAAATTCTAATCGGAATCTATGTTGCATTCGGGAACATTCCGGGAAATTTCCATGTGGGGTTTGAATCTGCGCAGATTTCGAGAAATCGGACTCGATCCGAGTTACATCCTAGGAAATGTTCTATATGGATATGTACACGTACATATGTAGACGCGCAGATAGCAGATTTCTCCGTTTGACAAACGCGAGTGAGCGTTTGATTGATTTCAAAAGGTTACATATTTATGGTAACAACGAAAGATCGCAAAAGACGATTGTGTATGAGAAGTTGCCGAGCGAGCCATAAGATTTATTGAATTTGGTGATCGTTTTGTAGCCCGATTGAACTTTAAATAACGCGGATGATAAAGCAGTAATTTCAAATTTATCGCAACGAGATGACCAAAAATTTCAAATGCTATCGAAGAAAGAGCGGAGAGTTACCCGACTGCGGTGGCGAGTTCATTGTAAGACCGCTTCGTGGAGCGCGATAAAAAATGCGGTGAATTATATCGCGCTTTCTGCTCGATTGTTAGCTCGATTGTTAGCGCGCACTCGGTGCAACGCGCGCGACGCGACGCGACATGCTATTCTGTACCGGGCACATTCGCGTGAGATGTCAGTTTTGTATTTGGCTATCACCGGGCGATTGTCGCACGGAACGAAATAAAAAGTTCACGACACAAACGACTTTGTGAAATATCCGTGCGAAGTATTCATTGCTCGTTCCGACAATACGTACTTGTCTAATAATGAATATATGGCCGCACGCGATGTGATATGACTCGTGTCCGAGAGCTCCACGATATTCATATAATGACGTTATTCAGAAGAAGATTTTTTCCATTTTTTTTTCTCCGAGATAACTTCATTAAAATTTCAGATTTCACAGGACGTAGATAGAAATTCCCTGCGCGGCTTATGCAAGCTTCCGCGCACATATGTGCGCAGGGATCTGTCCATGTAATGCATTTTAAATTATGTCGAGAAGTATTACAATTATTTGCGCGCGCGCTGGAAACAGCGCTGGAAATTTCGAACAGATCGCGTGAAATATCGCGCGTCGTCGTTAAGGTTAATGATTAGGGTTCTGATTAATTGCGTCATAAAACTATTAATCGCTTGACGTGATCGATTTAAGTGCAGGCGACAGGTATTATCTCGAGAAAAGCGACGAGTGTTGTCGGAGTCGTCGACGACGTGCGACTAACAAAATGACAGGCTCCGAAGGGTTGAAGTCGGGTTGGAATTCTCACGAGCGACGATGATGACGCGGGACCGTTCCCGCCGGGGGATCAATCCCCCGACGGGAAGCAGTTCTCACGCCGCTAAAAACGATTATGCAAACGTTAAAAAGAAGTAATACGTACCTTTCCTAACTGTGAAATTCCAATTAGTGCCGTACACTCGTGCCCGCCTTAATTAGATTCTCGCAGCCGCAGAGAACATTTGTGACTGAAGGCGATACACTCGTGTCGCTCCCGTCAATAAACGTCGCCGCCGATACATCGACGACGCCAAATCCCGTCGCCGTCACCGTCGCCGTCGTCGTCGTGCCGCCAAGAAATACAAGTCCGACATGAAGACTTCTTTTTATCGCACAGTGTATTTTTGCTACAATAAATCTACCGTGATACAGATTGCATTGCACACAGACCGTGCTCAAAGATATAATATCGGCGACGCGACGTAACGTACGTAACTTTTTATCGATAAAGTGTGTGATCAAATATCGAGTCTATAAGGTTTCCGTTAAACGCGACCTCGTGCTTAAAGTAAACCTTAAAAATTTGCGGACTCGCTCGACTTCACTTCCGCGCGTCTCTATACGTCTCGTATGTATGTGTATTTACGTGTGTGTATGTGTGCGTGCATGTTCGTATGCATGTGTGTATTTGTACGTGTGTGTGTATGGATATTTCTTCGCTCGTTTGGTTTTACGCGAGAGATTTCACCGCGGCTAACACACAAAAATGTTACACGTCCGTTCGGAAGATATCCAAACGGCGCGGCGTCCCAAAGTGCGCATTATCAAACGTCCTCCCATTGCGGACCTTCGAGTCTCCCTCGCGCGGTGTGTCCTCACTGTGCGTGCAGAAAGGGCGAGACGTTTTCAGGGGACGCCTCGGAACACGCTCTCGCGGCGTGTCGCGTCTGAACAACGACGAACGCATAAGATTACAATCGAAGATCGTCGACGAAGAAAGAAGAATTTGATTCCCAACAAAATGTCGTTTTACCCTACCATTCTTACGTTTGTATCTTCGCGCGCATGTCTTATCCTTAAATTAGGATATACAGAAAGAACCATTGAACCTTAATCGCTACGTATCCGATGTGTACAGTGTTTTGGGCGAGAGAAAACGATGCTACGCGGTTGATGGGCCCTGAAGAGTAACACCGGGGGCCCCGTACGTACGTGTCCGACACGTATCCGCCGCCGCTCGGTGGACCTACGTCAGGCCTGTCCAACTAATGGAGTCTGTTTATACGCGTGATTGTACGAGGTGCGCTCTTATCCGTACACCGACACGACGAGCACCCTTCGACGCAGATCGGACTTGAATTCACGGCGTCGTTTGCTTAAAAGGTCCTGTAGAAAAAAGTACGGACGCAGACGGAAGAGGGCTCGTAGCTTCCGTGGAAAATAATCTAAAAATACAAAGAGGCAGGGAGGAAGAGACGGGGAGAGACGGAGAGTGAGCAAGAATAATCCCGCGTTGGGATTCAATTGCGACCGTTCGACGAGAAAATCAGTTCATTCGATCGTCAATCGCGATCACTACACTCGGTCGTCTCTCTCTCTCTCTCTCTCTCTCTTTCTCTCAGAATGATTATTTTGACACGTCGGAGTTGACATTCCCCTCGCGCGGATGAAAATACGTCGGTCGTTATCTTCTGATCGCGCGGCCGGCCGACCGGTCAAATTTTCCGGCCGATCGATTCAGACTTGGAGCAGGCAATCGCGCAATCTTCCACGAAAATCTCGCATATCTAAGTAGTCCAGCCGGCGGCAACCTCGACTAAGGTAAATAAGGAGGGGAGAAGGGTTATAGAAGAGGTGTAACGGAAGACCGAAACGAGGAGAGGCAAAAGAGATGGTCCGTGAGAGGGAATGAGGCGCGGAAACGGTCTGGGTGAGAGCGAGGGGCGAGGTTCTGGATGAGAATGAGAGGAGCGCGCGGGACGATGAAAAAGGAATGGGCCAGCGGGTGGACCGTAAAGTCCCGGGAGTAATATACTATCTATCACAAACGGAAGTAATGGTGTAATAGTTATGGACATTTCGAAGTGAAACGCTTATCGCGCTAAAACGACGCCCGCTACGACGACTACCGCCGACACCAGCACGCCCGCCAGATTCCTCTTCGCTGCCGACGTCTTGCGACGCTGTATCGCTGCCATCTTGTCACCTGAAACGGCAGAGACAGGTGGGTCTGTTAGTGAGTCGAGGCTGAGGAGTCGATCGTTTCTCACCGTGTGCCGTGCGCGATAGCGGGGCAATCGAGGCGCTACATCGACAGGGCTGCATCGACAGGAAGCGGCCTGCCTAGCAAACGCGTGTAGTATCTTGTAAAGTTATTTCCGTCGGAAACGTTAGCGGTTGCGAAACGTTAACCGTTGACTGAAACACCGCGGGAACGCGTCGCGCTTTCTCTCCTCTCCCCCCCCCCTCTCTCTCCTCTCTCTCTCTCTCTCTCTCTCTATCTCTCTCTCTCTCGGAGAACACGTTCGCGGCAAATGAAGCCGTTAGATATTACGTGCGAATTAAATCCGCTCGCGAAAACAGATGCGAATCCGCGCGCGGAGCGCGCCAGAGTGTTTCACACTAAACGGCTGGTTTGATTTGAATCCATTATTCATATTGAACGTACGTACGTATGTATATAGATACGTGGTACGTATGCTGTGCGTTAGACGAGCGAAAGTCAAGATTCGACGGGCCGATCTAATAGAAATTCTCGTAACCGTCGTATGTGCGATATATATACACGCCTCTCTTACTGTTTGAATAATAAATTTAAATAGCAGCGTTAAACGCGTTTAACAGTGTGTACATTCCGATTAACTGTGCGAGAGCATGATTAAGGATTTTGTTTGACGTGCCTTTGCGATGCACATAATGTTCCAAACAAACGAGACGATTCTGTTTTGCGGATGCACCGCGAGAATAAGAAGCGATCGGGTCGACAAAATCGGCGAAGAAATATCGCGATTACTGAACGACTTGTTTGTTAACGCACAGCAATGTAGCGTTGATATAATTGCAGAATTGCAAATTGCAGTTATTCATCGAATTAATTCATCGCAGCGACTGAACGGTTTGTTCAGTCGCGAAGAATTTTTAAGACTAACAAGGGCCATCATAGGCATGGCAACTGCGAATAATTACTGCTGCGGAAACATAACGATGTCTGTTTGACCGACTAAACGTTTGCTCGAAGGAATTTTGTTCGTCCAAACAAAGTCTCGTTGATTTCATTATTTTTTCGTTATTGTTCTCGGTATACGCGTGGTGTAATGAGAAGGATGTATCGCGACATCTCAATGTCGCTGGTTTTCGATGTTAAAGAATAGGGGAATTAGGAAGAGTCGATACATTATCCTGCGCTGTGACTGACTGAAGGCAGACGTGTGTGTTGAAGGGAAAATTGCACTTTTCGACGATGACCTGTTTTACATTCAAAGACGTGGCTTAGTCGGCGTCGAGCGAATTAATAGTCAATTGTGCTTTTCACCCGATAAAGCTTTCTCGTGTGGCACGACGCCGTTTGCGTCTTAAAGACTGCCCGTATAACGCGGATTTCGCTAACTCGGATTAGCGACGATAGAAGATCCGAAAGATTTCCATTATAATTTCCAATTGAAATTGTGGACTCCCAGACTCGCTTACGACTCTCGTGTCTCTCGTTGCATACGAAATTACTTCCAGCGCTCTGACGCATTGCAGCGTTGTGTTCGGTGAAACTGTACAGAATATGCCGTGGATTACTGAGCTAATTACTGTTGTAGTTACTCGCACTGTGCGTCGTAGCTACTGCGGAATAATTGATGCTGATAACAGATATATGTCGTATATTATATATTGTATTATACAATACCGTGGGTGTACATCATATTGCATCGATATTAATTCGTCATTACGAACATTGGAAGTAATCAAAGAGTAGGCGGGAATCTTCAGTTGGTATTAACGCGAGAAAATTACTTCTGATCGATACTGTAATCTTCTTACTTGCGTTCTTGGCTTTTTCTGCTGAAGAATCGATGTGATAAGTAAGATATTAATTATGACTTATTTAACTGCATATATAGTGTGTAAGATAAGTAAATATTAAGTAATAAAAATGGGTGAATAATGAAATTAATAAGTGAATGAAATAACATGTTTTTATTATGCATAATTTTTTAATTATAGTTTTATTGGGAAATTAAATAAGTTTTAATAGAAAATATTCAAAAAAATTGAATATCCAGAAAAAGGATAAAGAAGAAGGAGATGTAAGAACACAAATGTAGCAATGGTATGATTCATAAATTTAAAATGAGATGCTTTATGACCCAAGAAACATTATTAGATTAGCAAAAAAGCAGCACACTTGCGAGATTTGCATCCGTTTCTAATATCGTATGGTATTCGTAGCATGCAAATTTATGATTTTTAATTGAGAGTATAATTCTTTACAAATTCATATTCATGGACTGTTTTTTGGTGGGATGATCAATATTTCTTGTTGTATGAACTAAATATGGATACAGATTGATGAATGAGAACCAGAGAGTTATGAGAAACCATAATTATATATCATTCATCAAATGATAGATCATCAATGCCGATCTAATTTTCGATTCAGTTAAAAACTTCTTGTATAATTCTGATATAATTCTTATGTAATAAATAATTTGACATGTCTAGAAATATATGATGTATCGCTGCCTGTGTCCCGGTAACCTGCGTTCTCCGTCCTGGCTTCCCGCTCCAGCATTCTGGTTCCTGGTTATTTTATCATTCTGGATACTTTCTTTTAATACTGACAATCTCGTAGATACAATTTGATCGAAACACTAAATTATCGTGCTCAATTAAATTAAATATTTCACGAGTCGATGAAATATTTTAATCGCTCGATGGAAATGACAATGATAGATAATGGTATTCATGATGTTCATGTTGGTCTCAATATAAAATAACTTTTGGAAAAATGTAACGCATAAGGATAAGATTTTTTTAAGTATGGGATGTTTTGAGATTATTGATTGTTCTTATCGGTCACGTGAGACGGTATGTCCTTTTTTGCCTATTATTTTAGTATTCTTGTGTATCGCGTACTGTCTCGTAATTGTGTCTCGAGCTAATGAGCGACACATGTACTGCAACGTGAGGTACGTATTGGTACGTTAGTTACAATTTCCGTCAGATGATCAAAAGACCTCGATGGCTCTTGACATATTTAATCAGGTTCTCATCGGCACCGCATTCATTAGCACGCGTTTTTCCGATAAAATCGTATCTACGCGAATGTCGGTATTAGTGTTAATGCCATGAGGAAATATCCGAAGTGCCACGATGGAACCAAGATATTGGATTAGGAAGTCAAGACGGAGGAAATGGCCATTACATCAAATATTTTCAAGTATGTTAGATTATTTATTACATGTATGATTTCCGATTTTAACGGATATTCGACAAATTTAGCAAAAGGAGATATCCGCGGTCGAAATTGAGAAGCTGGCACTTACTTATAGTGTGTCATAATAAATAATTACAACTTCATCAATATTTAGCTACTCATCAATCTAAATTTTCGTACAAGACATTAATTTAAGAAGCCAAATAATGAATACAAATTTGTAATTATGCTCTATATAATCAGGAATCATAAACAGTTTGCAACTATAAATATTGATTTTAGAATGTAATAAATCTTCCTGAAATCTTCAATATAAGTGTAAAAAGTTGCAGAAAATAATGTTTATTCACTTACTCATTATTTAATATCTGCTTATTTCATACATTTTATTTGCAATTAAATAAGTTAGATGGTTAATATATTGTGCTTGCTGTGTGTGAAATTAAAAGGATAAAGATTAAATGTAGACAAAAAATATTGAGATAATTGAGTATTAAACAATTTTAAAGCTTTTATTCAAAATTTAATATGAAATAAACGGTAATAACTAATTATTTGTAACTACAAGTTACACAATAGCAATATATACAGCGTTTATATTTTCTATATTGATATTTTTATATTTTGATATCCTTTATTAGCTCTTTAAACTTAATGGAATTTGCAATTTGCGGTAGAATTAAAATTTCGACTCTGGGTGATAGAAATTCAACAATGGTTTTCGGAACTCTTGTTCTCGTTATTTAACGATCATTGAATATCTTTTTTCCGAAAACACTTTAGACACGTCCATTTTTTTTTCTTTACTTGTGTTTTTAACATACGGAGTTCATTAATTTTGCCGATCTTCTTGCAATCGATCTTGGGCGCCGCAGTGGCATACACGTGTACGCGTTGCCTTGTTATACAACTCGCGTGCACATTATAACGCAAGTACTCGTTTGCGGCTAATTAACCAGCGGCCAACATTTGCATTAGACTTGCGGTGTAGGTTCAAAAACTATCGCGATTTCTGCTTTCACGTGAGACGAAGGCTTCTATTTTAGGCAGCATGCGTTTCCCTATTCGCCTGTTTTACTTATTTAGAAAAGATGGTCAGTTGTTGCGACTGTTTTCGAGAATACTTTTCGTTTTTTTAAACTCTCCTTGAACTAGCTTCGTATTCCTTTTGTGTTAATGCGTTGTGACTGCCGATAACAAAAGGGCTTACTTCACGCAAAACAGCGTTTTGTAAAAGTTTCCTCGACTCTCACACACGTGTATATCACACATAAGACTGCACGTCTCTGAACAGGTGACGAGAAATGAATTCTTAACAACGTTTTTTCTGGATGTTTGCAAATTTGTTCGTACTCTCTAAATTTCTTAGAATGAAATATCATCTGAAAAATAGAATGACAATCGAGTGACACTCGAATAAAGAAATTCACTTTAAACTAAAATTCTCTCTGATTGAAATATTTACTTGTACGGGATGAGGATTCATTCTGACGTTTCCGAGTGGCAATATTTTTCTATGGCTTTCTATGGCTTCAAATGAATTTTCACTTATTTTGAATAAGATTTCACTGCGATAAATTTCTAGAATATATATAATGCGAGTATAATGGAAAACTGCGCGCGAGAAACGCAGCAAACGTCACGAAGAATGCTATAACTTATCATGTTCTATCCATCCACGAATATGTTCGTTATCGATCACATGAATATTATATTTTATTTCATATGTCGGACAGATGTAGGACCACTTTCGCTGATTAAACTTCCGCGGTTAATTAAGC